TAAACTATGAATTCTTGCTGCGTACAATGCTTTCGAGTCATTTTTATAGTTTCTCAGAAATTATATTAAACATTTATTATGCAACTATTAAAAAAAGCCTAAAAGTAATGATATTGGCCAACAGTCGCAATATCATCAGATGTAAGATGGGTTTGGATTTTATCATCAATGCCCAAACTAGTATCGCCAACGGTCATAATACCATCAGGCTCAAACCCATCTTATTTTTTATCTAAAGTATATATTTTAAGTAAGTATCTAAAAAATAATGTAAACATGACTTATTCTTTTACTTCCCTCTGTTGCATTGTTTTTCTTTGCTTCAAAGTTTCGAGAACAAGGTTACTTTGTTTTTGTATCAGTCATCAATTTAAAAAGCTTTAAATTTACTATAATTACGTAATATATAGTATACCTGATGTCCGTGTGCTAACAAATTCTAAATTTTGATTGGTTAGATCAAGTGTAACGTAAAAAATCAAAACAATCAATGAACAATGTTTATTGGCAGACTCCTCATTTTCCTAGTAATAATACATATTAATTAAAACTTACATAATTATAATGCAATAAGTTTATATCGATATCATATACTTTTTTGGAAAGCCAAAAAGTTCGCAGGTGATTTTTTTGGTAACTTGATGTGTCACAGGTATGAAAAATATCTCACCTGATAAGCCATATGCCCAGGCAGGTTAGTGATGTAATGGCACTGCACGAAGCAATCTGTTTAATTAGTAGGATTTGATGACCATGTTGGACTGTATACCAGTGCCTATTGGATCATAAAAAACTTTTAGTAATTATACCATGAATCTTTCTCATGTCTTTAACGTTATCATTTTTGTAATCTTTTACATGTTCTATTCTGTGTATCATGATATCAACTCGTGCTGCATCCATATGGATAACAGGAGGAAATGTTAATGTTACACAATTGATTTTACACACGGTGTGAAACATATAAAAAAATTATTTTACAATACTTGAACAATCTTGATCAGTCTGCTAGTAGAGGTTATGATTATAATCCAACACCATTTTTATTATAATAATAATGGTGTTGGATTATAATAATAAGATCTACTAGTGGACTGATCAAGATTGTTCAAGTATTGTAAAATGATTTTTTTATGTGTTTCACACCGTGTGTAAAATCAATTGTGTAACATCAA